GCTTACTGTTTCTGAAAATGACACAAAAAACCGATTTACCCAAGGTTGTTTGACACACTCATGGCAGTCACAAATAGAACTCAAATGACCTCATTTACAACTTGTGCTGGTTATCATTCCGTGAAGGAGCATTTACATAAGCTCAACACAAATATTCAAATAATAACAGGCCACATTTACATTCCTTCCACCAACTATAGTGGCGCCCTGGCATAGTAATCTAATTCCGAATTTCAAAGAATTTCAAGTAATCTCATCTCACCCATCTCTAGTAAGAACACACTGCTATCCAAGACCTCAGTGGTGGGCCAGGGATGCCCAAGTCATACCATATATATGGTCCATCCTCCCAGAGCACCAATTTTACATTAAGATTTGGTTTATTGGGAATGTGGGAATATCTGCACTCTTTAAAGTCCTGTCGTTCCTGTGCCCTAGCTATATCCGCAGAATCCTGTTTTCTCTCATGCACTACATCCCGGCAGTATCAGTGAAAGTTCAAGGAATAGAAATTCTTTTATCCTGTGGTTAAAAAATATTTGGTACTTTCATGTTTTTATTAAGGAATATATTACTGCTTCAGTGGGATCAAAGGGTCTGCTACTGGGGCAGAAACAGATTAGAATCATCACCTCCAAAGATTGAGGGCTGGTGCCTGCTGCTGGTATGAATGAACCAGAGCCCGTAATTTTTCAGCAAGATTAAAAATACCTGCAAAGCAAGGTTTTTATTTTACTTTTTTAAAGATTTATTTATTTGAGAGAGAGAGAGAGAGAGAGAGAGAGAGTGTGTGTGTGTGTGTGTGTGTGCGCACGCATGCGCACGCATACAAGTGGAGGGAGGAGCAGAGGGAAAGAATCCTCAGACTCCCCGCTGAGCACCGAGCCCTGCAGGGATTGATCTCGTGACCCTGAGATCATGACCTGAGCAGAAATCAAGAGCCAGACACTTCACTGACTGAGCCACCCAGGTGCCCCAGCTTTTTAAAATCTAGCCTGTCAACTTAAATTTCAGTCTATATTTTGCTTTTGCCTGCATTAAATTATCTTAGCTTCCACAATCCAGTCTACCTTCCTGACATAATTAAACTCATCATATGCTTTATTTACAAACTCCTGATTAGAAATAGCATTTCTGAAAGCTGAGTCCACCCTAACTCAAAAGAAAACTAAAAGTCTGCCCTTTATCACCATTCCATTCACTTAACATACATTTTTAAAGTGTTAAAATTTTGTAGTTATATACTTAACATGGGACAGGGGTTTGGTGGTTAGAAAACGCAAGTTTGAAATGCAAACTTGAAAGAGTCAAAGTAAATAAGAAGCTGAGCATCAGAGTCCTCTGGAGTCAAGGGTTGGGATGCATATGTGTGAGCCCTGAGTCATTCCTTGAGCAAGGACTGAAGAAAAGGGACAGACGAGCCCCATACCAGTTGTTCTGAAAACTGAGAATGTGCTCAGAAGCTTACAATGGCTTCTCTTACTATGAAGAAATAAATGACCCAATCCTTTGAAAGAAACTTCAAGAAAGGATTCTGAAAAAGCCACCCTGCCGAAATTGAAGCTTCCTTCCAGAGCAGTTTCAGGATTCAAATATGACCACTGAAGGTAAAGTACAGTTGACCCTTGAATGACGCAGGGGCTAGGGGTGCCGAACCCCTGCCCAGTCAAAAATCCAGAGAGAACTTTTGATTTCCCAAAAACTTAACTGCTGATAGCCTACTGTAGACCAGAAGCCTTACTGAGAACATAGACAGGTAATTAACACATATTTTGTATATTATATGCATTATATACTATATTCTAATAATAAAGTAAGCTAGAGACAAGAAAATGTTATTGAGAAAATCATAAGAGAAAATGCACTTACAGAGCTGTAGGTATTTTTTGAAAAAAAGCCACACATAAATGGACCCACACAGTTCAAACATGTGTTGTTCAAGAGTCAACTATATATGTTATACAAGAAAAATGGTTGAAGCCATGGACTATTTGTAGTACCAATTCTGCCTGGAGTGAAAGGAGGTGAGCCCAAAACACATGGACCTCAAGAAATAGAAATATTAACAATAACAACCACACTTAACATTACTGAGCATTTGCCGTGTGTCCAGCATGCACTAAGTGCTCACCACTATTAGCTCATTCAAGCCATATAACCCCATCCTATGAATCAGATACTTTATTTCATCGTTAAAGATCCCATTTTAAAAATAAGGACATTGAGGCTCAGAATGGTTAGCTAACTTGTCCAAGGACCCAGAGCTAATAAGTGGCAGAGCCAGGATTCAAATCCAGGCCATCTGATTCCAGAGTTCAGACACCTAGCTGTTGGAAGGGTGCCATGATTTTAGTGTCCTCAAAGACCCACTTTACAAACAGACCTACATAATTTTCATCTTTAAATTTGAATAAAACCTGAAATCTTAAAGATTCCATCATTTTTTTACTGATTTATTTATAATTGCTATGCCTTTATGGCATTTTCATTTGCAAAGGGACTACTGATGACATATTAAGCACTTTTATCAAGAGTATTTGTTTTCTAAGAAGCACATTATTAAGTGGCAGGGAAAAAAGTATATGGAATTATATACAGATGGGGTCAAGCCTCCCAGAGAGTGGAGGCTCCCATGTAGGCCCCACCCACCACATCATCCTGAGGACAGAGACTTCGCAGGGTTTAGTTCTTGATTTCCTTTAAGGAGTGATTAAGCAGGATAGTGCAAGTAAAACAAACAAGCAAACAAAAATAGAAACAGTATCTCATCAAGTTTACAGTGAAATGAGAACAGACTTTGAAACTTGGCTCTGTCGTCCATAGGTGAATCTGGGCTTCGTCACAGAAAGGTGCTAGTCTGAGTTTGTGTGATATGGATTGAATTTTTTTTTTAATCAGAGAGAAAAGAAAAGATGGTTTGACAAAGGGTGACTCACAAACACAGCTTAGATTTTTTTCAAAGTAAAATGCGTGACAACAACTGAGAAAACTACAAATATTTCACTTAAGCTTCTGACAATGGCTGCCTAAGGGCCCTACGGGACCTTCCTGTGCCAGGAAAGGACACACTACTTGAGAGATTGTTGGTCTTGAAAGAGGCACAAGAGGTCGCCCAAACTCTCCTCCTTTAAAAAAGGAGGTCCTGGAAACAGAGTGAAAGAATTAGGACCAGGCAGGAGTCAGAGCAGCAGGACAGTTGGAAGAGAACATGGGTGCCTAAGGGTAGAAACCTTAGCAGAAGAGCACTGTCTAGAAACTGAGCCTTGAACCAAACCCCAGGTTGGGAAGGACACTTTAGCCCACTGAGCCTAGACCCGTGAAAATGCCTGTAGTAGTCCAGGTCGAGGGCAATACCTGGCTACCAGCAGGAGCAAAAACAATCCGTCCCTACAGAAAAGTTTCTCAGATTTGCAATTTGAGAACTGGCAATCAGCCCACAGCACTTAGATTAAGCAATATGCTCACAACCACAAGTCACCAACTACACACAGTTTGACAGTCACAAACTATATACACATTTAGATTCTTCAATACTTCAGATATTGAAATCATTAGATACAGAATACAGCATAGCTATGTGCATAACATTTAAAGAAATGAAAGTTACTACAATCACAAAGATCACCAATGAGAGGATACTAGGAATGAACAGTAAGTTTGAAAACAAAAAAACTGTGAAACTTTTACAAATAAAATATAAAATTGTTAAAATCAAAAAGCCCTGGGGCACCTGGGTGGCTCAGTCAGTTAAGCATCTGACTCTTGATTTCAGCTCAGGTCATGATCTCAAGGTAGTGAGATCAAGCCTCACGTCAGGATCAACACTCAGCATGGAGCCTGCTTAAGATTCTCTCTCTCCCTCTCCCTCTGTGCCCCCAGCACCCACCACTCATGCACTCTCTCTCCAAAAAAAAAAATAAATAAATAAAAAGTCCATCAACAGATTAAACATCAAATCAGACACGGCTAGAGAGAGAATTAGTGAAATGGAAGATGTACATAAATGTTTTTATTATAGGTGACTAATCACTGCAATTAAAATCAAGTTTGAGAATTTTTAAGTGTTGATCAAGGAGACTGTGAGTTGCTCTTAGTTCATTTAAACATAATGAAAATTACAGTACTGGTAGTAAAAAAAAATGAGGAAATCCATCTTTCTTCACAGGAAAAGTCTTTTGATAACTAATTCCCTGAGACAGTCATTCAAAGCACCTTTCCACATGAGATAAGACATGGGTGTTTGTATATGCAGGGAGCCCAGCTCAGGGAGGATACTCCAAGGACTTGTCAAACCGTGGTTACCTCTGGAGAGGAAAACTGTAGTGCTGGACAGTAGGGAAGAAGGGAGGGGAGCTTATGTTCCCTGTGCATTCTGTTGCAGCCCCTGGATTATTTACCAGTTGCATGTATTATCTATTCATGAAAAGGAATTTTCAAGCTTTTAGAAGATTAAAAAAAAAAGACATAAGCTGCATGGCTTCTCAACAGGAAGACAGACATAAGGAAAATTTTAAGAACAAAAGTCTAAAATTGTTGGGACAATACAATGGCCTGGACATCTCACCTCAAAAATCTCCCTGAATATAGCAGGTACAACACTAGCATAAATGGTTATCATTTCCACGTATTTATGTGAGGTGGAACATCTTGAAAAACTTGGAACATTGTGCCCAAGACAACAAACAGTACTAAATTTGATACATCAGCTGATGTCATTCAGACTAACTTTCCAAAATCAATAGGCAACATCATATTTTGGAGTAGAATGTAACATCACCATGACTTTCAAAAATAAAACTGCTTCATGCTTGCTTCTGGTCTTTTAGGCTGTGTTCCCAGGGATCCTGGGTCCCACTCCACTCCTCTGCTGCAGGGCTACTTTCCAGAAAAAGCTGGAGAAGCACAGACAAAGGGATTTTGACAGAGCAGACAGAATGTATATTTTGATTTGATTTGTCAAGACATATAGATCAAGCTTCTACTTATGGATGGTTTCTTACCCCAAAAAACAGGAAAGAAGAAACTGTATGATAAACAGAACATTCTTCCATTCATTGAATTCAGTAGCCTATTATGAAAAAGAAAGAAAACAACGGTTAGACTAATAATATTGCAGTTTAAACCTATGGCTTTTACCAAATTGTGTGTTTTAGTACAGGAAACACTTTCGCACACAGAAAATACAACTTAAAAAATCCTAGGCAATACCAGCTTGTGAGGCTGGGCATATTACTTTTACTCCCTGGATCTCAGATTCATTTTACAAAACAGGGATCTTTTTTTTTAAACTTCCTCAAAAGGTCAACGTGAGGATTTAATGAAATTGTTTGGAAGATGGCAGGTGGCAAGCACAAAACATAGCGATAGTTTCCGTAGTTGCAAAATCATGGTTGGGTTTACTTTTTGTATAAATAATCTTAGAAGAAAGCTTATCATAAAATTAATAATGTTGGGAAGTTCAGAAAATTAAGTCTGTGAACTGTTTTCAAGAATTTACAAATGCCTGGGGCGCCTGGGTGGCTCAGTCAGTTAAGCGTCTAACTCTTGGTTTTGGCTCAGGTCATGATCTCAAGGTCATGGGATGGAGCCCAACCTTGGGTTCTGCGCTCAGCACAGAGTCTACTTGAGATTCTCTCCCTCCCCCACTGTTCCTCCCCCTGCTTGCTCGCCTCCTCCCCCCCTTTAAAAAAAATAAAATCTTTAAAAAAAAAAAAAGAAAGAAAATCTTTAAAAAAAAGAATTTACAAATGCTTAGTAAGTATTATGAACAAATAAACTATTATTTGCTACTTACAAAGCAAGCAAGTAATCGGGGTGGAGGAGCTGGGACAGAGAAGTTTATGAGAGAGTTTCAACTCTCCAAGACCTTAGTCTTAGTCTCTTAGCTGAGAAAATGAAATTAACCCTCTTGAAATGACAGGTAACAATAAAAAGGAGCATTTTATTCATGATTTGTCCTTTGCCTGCATCCAAAAATGATTTTAAGGTGACTCAAGACTATATTAAGTATGTGCTGAATAACATAATTAAATATAAGTTTTATTCACTTTCTCCTAGGCAAAACTTTCTTAGTCAAGTTTTAGTAACTTTATAGATTTAAAATTATTTAAATCTTTGTCAAGTCTATAATTCAAAAATTTTAGGCCAATTAGAATGGAATTCTCCGCCAATTAATACATCCTTGCCATGCTTGTCATTGTTTCATTAGTGAGACTTTGCCTACTCTCTTATCAAAAAGAGACACAAACGGGGCGCCTGGGTGGCTCAGTTGGTTGGGCGACTGCCTTCGGCTCAGGTCATGATCTTAGAGTCCCGGGATCGAGTCCCACATCGGGATCCCTGCTCAGCAGGGAGTCTGCTTCTCCCTCTGACCCTCTTCCCTCTCGTGCTATCTCTCATTCTCTCTCTCTCTAATAAATAAATTTAAAAAATTAAAAAAAAATAAATGTGCCTTAACTTCTTTTAAAAAAAAAAAAAAAGAGACACAATCAATGTTGACTATTGTTGAACCTGGCTGATGGGTCCATGGGGTTTGTTATACTACTTGTTCTCCTTCTGTATAGGTTTGAAAGTTTCCATCATAAAACGCTTTTCTTTAAATGCTTACTTGTGAAAGAAAAATAAATATGAATCTGTCTTACTGGCAAGCCTAAGCCAATCATAGGGGCAGAAAATATCCAAGGCAGTCAAAGACCAAAACCAAACATAAGACATAGAAAACACTCTATTATCTAAAATTAAAATAAAACTGGCAATAAGAAAAAACCATATGCTCCAAACTTCAAACCAAGGGTAGAAAAATATTTATTGATTCAACAAGCTGGAAGTATTTCTGCAAACAGTAAATAAAAACTATATATTCCTGATGCCATATAAACCACTGAGGGCTATATAGTAATGTTCATAAAAATATTTGGGATTCTTTGCCACTCTAAATTTTAATAGATTTTAGTTTTGTTTTGTTCCTTTAATAATGATGAGACTGTGCTGCTGACATTTTAACAAATAATGTAGTATGACATTTATTTTAAAACAGAGGGGGCGCCTGGGTGGCTCAGTCAGTTAAGCATCTGACTTTGGCTCAGGTCATGATATCGGGGTCCTGGGATCGAGCCCCCATCAAGTTCCCTGCTCAGCGGGGAGTCTGCTTCTCCCTCTCCCTCTGCCCCCTGCTCATGCTGTCTTGTGCACGCGCTCTCTCTCTCAAGTAAATATTTTAAAAAAACAGAAATTAATTAAAGATGAATAACAATAAAGTACTGCTTCCTTTAGACTTGCTATTGTTGTAAAAGTATGATAGAATGTGAATCTTTTTTGTTTTGCATTTATGTGGCTTTTTTATCAGAAAAATAAGTCCTATTACTTCTCCCTATTCATCAGCTGTAATAAACCATGTACTCTGAACCTATTGCAGCAATTCGAATGACTAAAGAAAGGTCACCCAATCAGTATTTTCCAGGGGCCTAAATTGTTGACCAGAGGAGCTGGCATTGCTGACTTTGCTAATCAGAGGCAGAATCAAGATGTTGTTGACTGTGTTAAGTCCAAGGTCCAGGAGTGACCTCCAGTGTGGTGAGTCATACACATGAGTCTTACCACAACCTCCAAACCTCTCCAGTCAACCAGGAAAAATGACTCAGCAAAGTACTTCCGTTAATAAGTTAACATTTCACCCTAATTCATCAATCAACTTTTGGTACAATCACACCAAACTGCAAATAAAACACAATTTTCTAGACTAACAGACCTAATTACGTAAGTTCTCTTCTTTATTGTATTTGGTTCACAATCTAAAATGGATTCAACCATAGTTAAAAGTAACCAATTGGAAGAAGCTTGCTATGGTTCAATGGAACAGAGCAGAACAATCTTACTAGTGAAAAATATCACCACTTTTTCTACAGGGTTTTAAAAATGACTGATTACAGAAAGTACCCCATATCTTTTGGCATCTCTTATCATATGATACTTTTAAATTAAAATAGAGTCAAAGTTTCAGTTTCATGACTTTGTATTTTGTCATTTTTATAGAAGGCCTTTTTTTTTAAGATTTTATTTATTTATTTGACAGAGACACACAGTGAGAGAGGGAACACAAGCAGGGGGAGTGGGTGAGGGAGAAGCAGGCTTCCCACTGATCAGGGAGCCCGACGCGGGGCTCGATCCCAGGACCCTGGGATCATGACCTGAGATGAAGGCAGATGCTTAATGACTGAGCCACCCAGGCACCCCTATAAAAGGCCTTTCTTACAGTTATAAACACATTCTATTTTTTTCTAAATTATAATTTTCATATAGATTTTTAAATAAATCTATATATTTAGTTCTGATCCATCTGGAATTCCAGTGAATAATGACCACATCTGGGCCTCTAAGACGCCTACAGGAACTTCTGTTTGAAATCTCAGGAGCCTAGGCAACAGAAGAGGCTACAGACAGTAAATACTGAGGTAGCTCAGCACCAAAAGCCAAAACAGGAGCACAGTTCTCTCCTAGAACACTACTATTTAATAAGTTAAAATATATGTTCAGCCTCTTGTACTTTCTAAGATATAAGTGCCAGGTTATGGTTTTTCATGCATGAAGGAAAGAAACACTTTTCACATACAATAAAGTAACTGGGATTCCAGTGGAAGATGTGTTCCAGAATCAGACTGACCGGATGGCTCACCTGCTCTCCCTGGAAGCTATTTAAACACTGTGCTAGAGCACAGATTCCTTGTCTAAAAGATGATGATAATAGCAGTACCCTCTCCTCAGAGGCCTGTTGTGGAAAGCAGTGAAATAGTTCATGTCCAATGCTTTGAACAAATCTGATAGAATAAGTCCTCAATAAATATTAGCTATTATTTTGATTATTAACTGAGAAAGTATAATAATTCTGTGAGGCTAAGCATTACAGCAGGTGAAACTTTTTTTTAGACTTATTTACTTGAGAGAGAGACAGAGTGAGGGGAGGGACAGAAGGAGAGAACCTTGAAGTGGACTGTTTCCCACTGAGTGCAGAGCCCATTGTGGGGCCCCATCCCACCACCCATGAGATACTAACTTGAGCCAAAAGCAAGAATCAGATGCTCCCACAAGCCACCCAGGTGCCCCACAAGCAGGTGAAACTTCTGAGAGCACATGTTACAAGTTTATAAAGCAATGGTTTGGATGTGGGAACAAACATTCCTATTGAAACAATGTTATAAAATTATTAACATGATACATCTAGTGGATTTAACTCATAAGATACCTAAAATTCAGTTTCTGGTCACCATGCTATTCATAACATTGCTGCTAAGCTCTTCTGCTGTCTCCTCTTTTGGAAAGGAATTGTACAAATGAGAAAGTATAGCTTTAAGAAAGAACGAGAAGCCCTGACATCCACCCTAGGAACCCACAAGAGTGGCAGCCTTAGCAAAAGTATTCAAACCCCTAAAAGGCTACAAATGGGATCCACTCAACCTGTGTACACCACAGAAGCATGCTGGTTAGTAAATACAGCAATACTGTCACGTGGTGGGTGAATGGCTACTGCATAGGACCCCTCTGAAACCCCACCCCGGGTCTGGTAACAATAAAAGTTAATGTCTGGGACTTGGTTCTGTGGGCAGAGGCCAGGATGGACCGTAATTTTTGCCCAGCAAATTTTCTCACATGAACTTAAGCATCTCCCTTAAGATATAGGCAAAATTCTTAGAAGTGGTATGGCTAGAAACTTCCTGCAAAAGTAGAGCGTGGCAGGGGCTGGTATGCTTCAAGACGGCCACTGTGGATGCTACGGGGCAAATCTTCACCCTTCCTGAGACTGGCTTTCACTCCCTCCAGCTGGGCCTCCTCTGTTCCTACTATTTTATTTGTCTCTCATGTGTGTGCAGTGAACAGGTAAGCAGGGCAAACACCAAATGAACAACACATTCTCAAAATTCAAATGTACATCCCAGAATATTTAGATGCAAAATGCCATGACTGCTGGAATTTGCTTTAAAATATTCCAGGAGGAAAAAAAAAAAGAAAGCAGATGGGAATAGATGAAATAAGAATGGCAAAATGCCAGAAAGTGTTGGCACAGGGTGGTAGGTACGTGACGTTCATTAAATTATTCTCTCTACTTTGCCTATGTTTCAAAATGTCCATTATAAAGGCAGTAGATAACTAAATCCATTTTTAAAACTATCAAAATCCCCTTCTAAGTTAGTTTTCCCAGGATCCCCACATCAGTAAATAGGGATATTAAGACTCAAACTCAGATTTTTACTGTCAGTTTAAAAAAAAAAAAAGCTTCAAGTCCAGAGTTCTTGTGACTACTTCCTGCTGCTTCCCATGTGTCTGAAGATAAATACCAAAGAAAGGATTGTGCCAAAGATGTTACTGGTGATATCACAGATCTCGCTTTCATGTACCCTCCTGAGAATCCTAGTTAGCGTTACACTTTTCACTGTAGTGAGTACCAGAAGTTAACTATTAAGAGACTGCTACGTAGGAATGTAATGACCGTCCTCAGCTCACCTGCTGAAGGTCTCCAGTAGAGACACTAATGATAAGAGTTGGTATAATCATGAAGCAGGCATTGTAGAAAAGCACGCCATATTTACCCAACTCCTACAAAAACAAAGAAAACACTCAATGTTAGAAATATGAAGCATCAGATTTCCTGGAGCCATTTATACAACTATGTATTTATGCAGAGTTAAAAATTATTCTGACCAACTTTGTGTTGGAATATTTTCAGCAAATTCCTTTATTTTTTTTTTAGCAAATTCCTAATGTAGAAGGCTTTACTTCAAGTACATCATGATAGCAAAATAAACATTTGTTTTACACAAAAATAGCAGATAAAATGGATGAACATGGAGGGCCTCCCAGGTCCCACCCATCTCTACCATTCCAATTGGTTGTTCGTTTGTTTTTTTAAGTATTGTATTCAGAATGGGAAAATCTGGAACAGAATGAAGAACATTTAAAATGTTAATATAAACAGAACTCCTTAAAAACATCTGCTCTTTCTGTTAAGGAGCAGCAGTGTTAAAATACCAGGTATCTGGTTTTCTAATCTTGCATACATTTACTTTTCATTAAAGTGGCTACACCGCTTCTCCACCATTTTTCATAAAGGGTGACATATTGGGACCCTCAAAAGGCAACAAACCTGTTTTAGTAAAACTGCCACCAGTAAAAAACAAAGGGCCGTGCAGAAAAAACAGCTCATAGAAATAAGTCTGTCCATCAGAGCAAACTCCCTCACTCAACACAAAGAACTTGGAACAAAGCAACATATGCCTGGCTCATCCTCCGGAGCTTCCGGAACAGCTGGGGCGAGAGGCCTTGACAGGGGGGTCACCAGTCTCTCGGGGGGGGGGGGGGGGGGGGGGGCTGCTCAATCACTGATCAGGGCAGGTACTTATTGCTGGCCAGGACCTTACACATGAGCCATTCCACAGATGAGGAGTCTGAGGTCTGCAGAAGTTAAGGGTCCAAAGTCACGGTGACCAGTAAGCAGCAAAGCTTCTTTCTGTAACCCACACCTTCAGACTCTCAAACTGCAGTTGCTTCAGCCCTGACTTTGCCTTGGCCACTGAGGAGGATGGCAAAAACCTTTTAATTTTTATTTGCCTTTCAAAATAATCTCCTCTTTATATATTCTGACTCTGCGTCAAAAATAGTGGTTTCTTTTCCCTCCCTGTCTTATTTTCACCCAAAACTTTGCAAGGTCAGGGGTAACAAGAACGCATAAAGACAAGAAAACTGAGAAGAAATTAGTGATTTATACAGCATGCCATGTAAATTAAATTACATGCCAACTTTACAAATTCTTTTTTTTTTTTTCCACGCAATTTCAGGGGCCAGATGACAAAGCCTAAAAACCATAGAAGTGAAGATCTGGTACCTTTGGGTCCATTTTCTGTTTGGTATAAACTCCATTTGCTGCTGTGAAGATATCATTCAGGAATACAAAAACATAGCCTTCCAAGTTAAAGGCAAGGTCAGAACTGGGAGGAAGAACACAAAAAGGAGGACGATTATTCAGAAACTCACACAACTTGGCCTTCAAAGCCTGCCTGTTTTATCTTTCCCTAATCAAAGCCACTTGTGATGCTGGTAACTACCTTTTTTTTCCTCTGGCATATTTTACCCCTCTGGTTAATTCCTCTGCTCTGCCTCCAGACAAAACAAAACCAGGCCATCAGGTGGCTTCAATTCAATCATGAATGGCTTAAAACCAGAGGGACATTAACCATCTTCCTTGAACTGCAAAGCCCTTTCTTCTTTTCGCTAACGATCAACTGGCATAATAATTGGTGAGCCCTTCTTTTCTAAGGGGAGTGATTTGTCCAACCCACCCAGTGGCTTTGCTTATTGTAATAAACAGGGCCATCTCCAGGGTACAGCCCTGTGGAGACAGCTGGGCAGTTACTGGGGCAAGAGGGGTCAAACGAGGAACTGACACCTCCATCTGGTGCCCAACCGGTCACATCATTCACCGGCACGCCCCCACCCTGTCCATCAAAAAAGCAAGACAGGGACTGATTCTTCCTCTGCAACTTCTCCAAGGCTCCTTTCTTCCCATTCTTTTGAACCATCTTCTCTTCAATTTGCATTTTATATAAATACTACTAGTATAAAAAATGTGCAGGGGGACATGGCACAGGGAGGAGAGAGAGAACAGCTGAGCCCTGATATGACTCATCTACCACACTTGATCTTACAGACAGTAGCAGACCCATGTCATAATTCATAAATTAGCATCAAATAGCATAAAACAGCATCAAAGGGGTTTCCCCTACACTCTTAGGTTCAGTGACTGGAGCCTGCAAATTTGACTGACAGTAGGTTAACAAGAGAAAAAAGGAATACAACTTTTATTAAATATTTTACATGTAAAGGAGTTCACAAAAAAGAAATGAATCTCAAATAAGTGGTTAGACTCTGGGGCTCAGATACCATTTTAAAAAAGAAGAGGTTTGGGTTCCAAGGAACAAATGAATTGTGGAAAAAAGACTAGGAAATTTATGGGGGAAACTAATGGAAGAGAAGGGTTATTGTAGTTAAGGTTTATTTATGCAGACTCACCTTGGTACTGATTCTCCATCACCAGATGGAGACTGGTGGTATGGAAAGCAAATAGGACTGCTTTCCTATTCCTGGTGTGGGGGTGAGAGTGGAGGGTGTAGGGGGGACCACCTTACAAAGGGAAATTTATGGTCTGCTTTTAGCCAGGAAAGAGGAAAATGGAGAATTCTTCCTACATCTGTTGATTCTCAATTAATTGCCTTCAGCTCAAAATAAATGTTTATGCCAAAGTGGCATATTTTGGAGTGGCATATCCTGATCCCTGCAATATTAAAAAAAATAATTTTTTAAAGATTATTTCTAACTAAAGAGAATGAAATAAGGAGGGAAGAATTCCATCAAAATCTGAATGCAAACTAAACCAGACTTACTCGAGGGTTCTGCTGGTATTATTAACTACAAATATATCTGTGAGAATGCAAATTAATTTTAGATCATCATAAATCAGAACTGTCTGGTTCAATCACAAAAAAAATAGAATCTCTCAAAATGAGGGTCTTCCAGATCTCGTGCCTACCCACATTTGGCTCCATGTTAAGAAGAGTCTGCTGTTCCATAAAATGGCAAAGAGCTAAATGGATAAAAAACCCAGGTTTCTAGGGGAGTGGAAAGGTGTCGCTCACTTCCTTGGAGAGCCTGAGGGAAATTCCCAGAATTCTCAGGTCTCCTGCTCCCAGGGCTACAAGTCCCCAGCACCATTCATTCAGGCCACTGGGAAAAGCACAGAAATTTGAAAAGAATTGCTTGCTTTAATACATGAGAGCAGATTCATGGTTAACCCTTGTCGCTGTCATTTAGGGCTGTTTACAGACATAATAGTTCTACTTTTCTGGCCACGTGACTTGTTTGGCAAGAGAAATGTAAGACGAGGTAACACATGGCATAAAAAGCCAACACACGATTCCCCACATGCCCTCTTCCCTCCTGGATGAGGAAGGGAGTCCCTTTTGAGGCAGGGGTTCCATCTGCCTCGGTCCCTGAGTAGCTACAAAGAGCAGAGTACCCCCAGGGCATTAACTAACGTTGGTCTGAGTATGCAGCATGAGCAGAATATACTTGGTGTGTAAATGTGGGAACTGTTTGTTACAACAGCATAACTTGGCCCATCTGACTGAATCAGCTCTACAGTTATTGGCAATTGGTTGAGAAGATCTAAATGAGAGGTGAGAAGGGTGGGGTCGTGGCTGGTCTGCAGTGAAGAAGGGTGCTTATCACCCACCTAGATAGTATCCATTCTCTGGGCACTGAGGAAGGGAAAAATCTAGAAGTGCTGTTCCAAGCCAGCTCCTGGGGGAAAGTGAGATGCTCTGAAAACACTATTTACCGTTTCAGCTCATTAGAATATCATATGTGGTAACTATGAGCCGAATTTCTACTCACTGGGTCTGGAAATACGCCTCCACAGACACAGCATCTGAAGCGCCATTCCTCGCCACTGCCTTGCAGACATTTTTATAAACCGTTTTTTTTGTAGAAGTGTACAACTGCCTCAAAGTCAGCAGTTTCCAAATTGAGCTCTAAGAAACTCAGAAAAGAGAGGCTGCCCAGGGAATGCCCCAAAGCACTGTGGCAGGAGGGCACTTTCAACAGAGCGCCTCCCTCTTTTAGCTACTTTGCTCCTATGACTTTCTTGGAACAAAATCTTCATGATTACAACAGGCTCTAAGTACTGCTGCTTCATGTCCTCGCTGGCTCCGCAAACCAGGGGCCAGCGCGCAACGGGGCCCCACCCAGCTGACCGAGAACCTTACCGAGGAAAACTTAAATAACAAACCGTGCTCTAGGCAAGGGATGAACTCATTTATCACACAATAAAATAAATAGATTGTTAATATCTGTCACCATCTGGGATGCTGTATTTTCTAATCTGTTTCTTTTGCTTATTGTCTGTCTCCAGCAACTAGAATGGGAGCGCCGTGAAAGCAGGGATTCTTGTCTGTTTTGTTAGGTGCTGGATCCCCCTGCACCTAGGACGACACCCGGCAGTAAACACTCAACATGTTTTTGTTGGCCTTGGCCATTTCCTAGTGTAAACCCCAGTTTATTGTTATCCCCTTTAATTCACACAAAGACCCTATCAGCTGGGTCTATTCTAATCTCCATTTTAGAGTTGAAATAACTGGGGGGCAGGGAAGTTAAATAGCTTGTCCTGGTTATACAGCTAGTAAGTGAGGAGACTAGAAGAAGAGAAGATCCATATCCTTATTCACTTTGCAGTTAATGATCCAGAACTCTTCTTTTTTTTAAGATTTTATTTATTTATTTATTTGAGAGAGAGCACAGGGGGAGGGAGAGGGACAAGCAGACTCCGCGCCAAGCGTGGAGCCAAACGCGGGCTCCATCTAAGGACTCTGAGATCATGACCTAAGCCGAAATCAAGAGTTGGATGCTTAACTGACTGAGCCACCCAGGCACGCCCAGAACTCTAAGATATTTCTAAATCAGTTAAGGAAACTAGTTTAACTGAAATTCATCCAATCTTTGCATTCTTCCCTTCATACAGGTAGGCTTTCCTTTTCTATTATATTCTTTACTTTACAGATGAGTAAAACTGAGGCACAGAGAGGCTGAGAAAGAGCTGACAGGGGCCGGGCTAAGTTCTGGACCCACAGAATAAGACCGCACACATGCTTTAACCACTAGGCTATAAAAGCCAGGAGTCTGACTGTCTGCTTTCAACTGCAAACTTGGGAGTCCACATTCCTGGCCTTGTATATTAATGAATAATACACCGGAACAACACAGGTTTGAACTGTGCTGGTCCATTTATCCATGGATTTCTTTCACTAAATACAGTATAATAGTGTAAATGTATTTTCTCTTCCTTATGATTTGCTTAACACTTATCCCTAGCTTGCTTTATTTTAGGAATACAGTATATAATACATATGGCATATAAAATATGTGTTAAGCAACTATTTATGTTATCAGTAAGGCTTCCAGTCAACAATAGGCTATTAGTAGTGAAGTTTTTAGGGAGTTGAAAGTTATACTCAGATTTTCTACTATGTGGGGGCAGGGGAGGGGGGCATTGGTGCCCTTAATCCCTGTGTTGTTTAAGGGTCAACTTAGTCATACACTGGTATTGGCTCATGTCCCAAATATACAAATACATTTAATGAGAGTATACCACCCTTGGAAACAGACTGCTAAGGCATCACAGGTGATAAAACAAATCAGCATACAAGGGCTTTATAAAGTTGTTATTCTTGACCAAATGCCCAAGAACTTTTCAAGTAAATTTTTTGTACCGAAGACATTCAGTAATAATAGCAAATAGTTTACTCCTTTTTATGATGAAAAGCTGTATTCATATCTTCTAACATTCCCTTTATACATTCTCAGAAATGTTCTGGCCAAGCTGGAACCCAGTCTGACTTTCACAGGAACACATGGGGAACCCACTAACATCCACACACTTGTCTCTTGGCTGCTCAATTCAACTGCAGCCAGATGGAAAATGGAAAATGAGGCGGGGCTGGGCCTATTGTCAAAGGCACAAAGAAGTTTTTGAGCAGAAAAAGTCCAGAGTCTTACCCAGCTGCTATGAAAGCCCCAAGTATGATGGTAAAAACACTGACGATGATGTTCAAGGAATACTGTTTCCTGTAATAAATGGATGGATGGATGGATGGATGGATGGATGGATGGTGAAGGAAAGGAGGAAGAGAGGAAAAAAACATGGATTATAATCCTTAAACTGAAAATAGACATTGTTCACAGTTTTATAGCTAAAATCTAATGGACATCGCTTTACATAGAGAAAGCGCTGTAAGCATCTGTAAGTGGATTAATAAATTAGACCAAATGTATTTCTTAAGCAACTGTCTAATCTGACTATAAATGTGTTTCTCTGTTCTCATTGCAAAGATGCTGTGACAAAATGCAGAAGAGCCCCTGTTGGCAGCTCTAGTTGGTCTTATAACAAGCATCCAAAGATTAGGATAAAATTGAACAGTAGGACTTAGAACACTGGGCCATCATCCAAATTTTATTGCTAAATAATCTTCCCAACAAAACTAAGAATCAACTTTTTTGGTATCAGCCTGAGTACCTTTATGAGAGATTTTTAAACCATTATAAAAATTAATTTATTCCTATGTTACATCATAATCACTGTATCAGAATGGATTTCTGTGATTTCTTGCATTTCTATCCTGTATGTATACATGGACAATTTTTCCTCTGTATTCCAAAATCAGCGTCTATTCCATCTAGTTCAGGAAACATATTTATGTCTGTTTTGAGGCTGTTGCATTTTTTAAATAATTTTCTATCATAAACATGTACTATTAGTCTAATATAAAATTACAGGTAAAAAAAATCACTCATTATGTGCTTAAGGAATCATGGAAACAGGAAATGCTTTTAAGTGAATAAACCATGGGGCCCTAAGTTATTGCTACTAGCAATTCAAATCAACTATTTGGAAAAATAACTAGATGTTGAGATTTGCTATGCAAAAATAATGTGGGGTGAGGTTCGGAAAGGACACAAAGGGGAAAGAGGAAAAACAAAACTCACCCAAGTATGATGGTTTCCAGGAGTAAAGTGAGTGGAATGGTAAATTTCCGGAGCACGGTGAACATCGGCAAGCTGTCAGGAAAAGATTCAAATATAATAACATCAGATGCCAAGTATTTTTTTAACATGGTTTACATTTTTAATTAAGCCCACTAACTTTCCAAATTAAAGGTAAGAAATGAACCTTAATTCTCACCTATGCCATTAACAAATCACATAAAATAATAAAAAGAAATGGAGATTTAACAGTTTCATGCCACTTTTACTTACTAGCAATTTTTTTCACTTATTAACAATTTTTAAACATCACGCTATCCAACTACTGCAAAGGTTGTGCTAAAACTACAAAGACCATGCTAAAAGACTGTATGCAATATAAACCAACACACCCTTTGGCAAATCAAGTTGGAACTATGTATCAACACTCATTAAGTTGTGCTAACCTTGGACCTAATTATTTCTTGTTGGGACACTTAACCTATGGTAATAACACAAAAGAAAGAAAAAAACCATGTGCACAAATGTGGTCACTGCAATAGTGTTTTGGGGGAAAACATCAGAAACAACTTAAAAGTCACACAAGAAAATGATAAAATAAACACGATAAATCTACCTGAGGGAACATTACGTGTTAACTCTATAATATAAAACTTTATACGACTACTGGAAAATGAATATTAAATAAAACAAGGAGGGCACAAAACTATGTAGAGTCTACAACTGAAACAAGATACAGTCCACATATGGGAAAAGACTGAAATTGATATTTAAAATTGCATGTTAGGGGGGCGCCTGGGTGGCTCAGTTGGTTAAGCAACTGCCTTCGGCTCAGGTCATGATCCTGGAGTCCCGGGATCAAGTCCTGCATCGGGCTCCCTGCTCAGCGGGGAGTCTGCTTCTCCCTCTGACCCTCTCCCCTCTCATGCTCTCTATCTCATTCTCTCTCAAATAAATAAATAAATAAATCTTTTAAAAAAATAAATAAAATAAAATAAAATTGTAATGTTAGGGGCACCTGGGTGGCTCAGTCAGTTAAATGTCTGCCTTCAGTTCAGGTTGTGATCCTGGGGTCCTGGGATAAAGCCCCACATTGGGGTGTGGTGGGGAGTCTCTGCTTAGCAGGGAGTCTGCTTCTCCCTCTCCCTCTGTGCTTCCTCCCCCCAAATAAATAAATAAAATCTTTTTAAAAAAATAAAAATAAATAAAATAAAATAGTATGTTAGAGGATAAAATTATGGGTTATTTTTTCCCCCAAAACTTTATGTAATGAAGCTATATTCACTGCCTTTTAAAAATACTTAAGAACCCTTCATTGGCTGTCAAAACCCAGAGATTCCAAGACACAGCTCAGTGCACAACCAACAAAATGCCTGAGCTGGAACAGCCCACTTTCATCTGCTTCCAGATGAGACCATAAGAAGAGGGTGACCTAGAGAAGGAAAGTCAGAACCAGAGCCAAGAGGGCAGTGGCCAGCCCCTCCTGACGAGACCTGAGGAAGGGTTTCATGTGATCATGAACATGACATCACAACTGGAGAGCAGGTACAGGAAGAATTTACAGGAACTTTATGTCCACAACTTAAAGATGTCTTATGAGACTGGTTAGAACTGCCTTTTTCAAAGCAAGCCAAAAGTCATTTAATTCCAAAAAGTATTTTTACATGATGTCTTTTAAAAGAAAGTAAGGCATATTTAATGATGAAAAACTGAATGTTTTCTCCCTAAGATCAGTAACAAGACCATAATGTTTGCTCTCAACACTACATCAATTCAACAAGTAGTTGAGATTCCAGAAGGGGCAATTAAGCTGGAGAAGAAAAAAAAAAGTATACTGTTTGGAAAGGAAAAAATAAATTTATCTCTATTTGCAGATGACATATATAGAAAATCCTAAGGAATCCACTAAAGAGTTAGCTGGGCTAATAGTTAAGTAAGAGTGCAGGAAAAAAAAGATTGAATATATAAAAATCAATTACACTTCTATACACTAGCAATGAGCAAACCTAAAAGGAAATTAAAACAATTCTGACAATGATAGCATGAAAAAGAACAAAATTCTTAGGAATAAATTTAAGAAAAGAAGTGTAAGACTTGTACACTAAAAACTACAAAATATTGTTAGAATATTAAAGAAGCGTAAATGGAAAGATACTCCATGTTTCTGGATCAATAGGCTTAATATTATTAAAATGGAAATACTCCCCCAAATAGATCTAGATTAAACAGAATCCCTATCAAAATTTCAGTTGGCTTTCTCCTCCCAGAAATTGACAAGCTGATTCTAAAATTAATATGGTAATGCAAGGAAACCAGAAAGCCAGAACAATCTTGAAAGAGAACAAAGCTGGTGGACCCAATTTCAAAACTTACTACAAAGCTACAGTAATCAGCATTAGTTATTGATTATAAACATATAATCAAAGGAATAGGATTAAGAATCAAGAAATAAATCCATACAATTATGGTCAGTTCATTTTCAAGAAGGGTGCCAAGACAATACAACAGAGAAAGAAAAATCTTTTCAACAAATGGTGCTGGAACAACTGAATATCCATCCACATGCAAAAGAATGAATATGGACCCCTTCCTCACAGCACATACAAGAATTGATCTCATAATGTATCAAAGACCTAAAGTCTTTGTAGGAGACTTCCGGTAGGAGCCAAAATTATTAAATTCTTAGAAGAAAACATAGGGGTAAATCTTCATGACCTTGGATTAGGTGAAGTCTTCTTAGATACAACACCAAAAGCACAAGCCGCAAAAGAAAAAACTGATAAGTTAGCCTTCATCAAAATTTTCAATTTTTATAAATGGATAATCAAAGGTGATATATACAAACAACAGAATATTATTTTCTTTTAAGAAAAAGGAATAGAGGTGCCTGGCTGGTTCAGTCGGTAGAGGATGGGACTCTCGATCTTGGGATTGTATGTTTGAGTCCCACACTGGATGTAGAGTTTACTTAAAAAAAAAAAAAAAAGGACTAAAATTCTGATACATGCTACAGCATGGATGAACCTTGAAAACATTATGCTAAATGGAATAAGCCATAATTTAAAAGGACAAAGATTGTATGATTTCACTTGTATGAAATATCTGCAGTAGGCAAATTCATAGAGACAGAATGTAAAATAGAGGTTATCAGTGGCTGGGAGCATGAGAAAATGGGGAGTTATTATTTAATGGATACAGAGCTTCAGTATAAGATGATGCAAAAGTACTAGAAATAGTGGAGATGGTTGCTCAACACCCAAATATGCTGAATGCCAATGAACTGTACACTTAAAAATGGTTAAAATGGTAAATTTTATGTTATGTATATTTTACCTTGTTAAATTTTTAAAAACTTAAAACTTTTGTGTTTCAAAGTATACCATTAAGAGAGTAAAAAGACAACCCACAAAATAAGAGAAAAATTTGCAATCATGTATATAATAAGGCACCTATACATAGAATATATAAAGACTTAATACTTAAAAAGATGAATATCCCTATTAAAAAATAGCCAATAAGCACATGAAAAGATGCTCAACATCATTAGTCATCAGAAAAATGTAATCAATACAACAACACGATACTACTTTACAACCATTAGAACAGCCATAATCCAAAAGAGAGACAATAACAAATTTGGCAAGAATGTAGAAGAGTCATAGCCTTCCTACATTGCTGGTGAGACTGTAAATTGGTGTAGCCACTTTGGGAAACAGTTCGACAATTCTTCAAAATGTTAAACAGAGAACTGCCACATGACCAACAATCCTCCTAGGCATAGATCCAATCAATGGTAATCCCATTCTTCCAAAAACCATGAAGTCATCTTTGTCTCCTTTCTTTGTCTCACAACCCACATGTTAATCATCAGGAAATTGTGTTGGCTGGTCCCTCACAATATATACACACCCAGATGTGGCCTCAACACAACCTTTAACATTAAAAATAACCAGGGGATCCTTGGAGAGATGGCAGAAAAAGTCCAAGATAAGCCTGGGACATCATGTGCCAGACAGCAAGGAAGTAATCAGATTACTGCGGCCCTAGAACAAAAAAGCCAACTTAAAGGGGCTCCCATTTGCCTGAGATGGAATAATGTGAACATCAAAAGAATTGTTTATAAAATGACTTGAAACATCAAGCACATGAAATAGATCAATAGAGCCCAGAAATAAGCCTACACAAATACAATCAACTCATCTTTGACAAAGGAGCAAACATAATTCAATGGAGAAAGATGATCTTTTCAACAAATGATGCTCAAACAACTGGATATCTACATGCAAAACACAGAATCCAGATAGACCCTACATCTTTCACAAATAAACTCAAAATAGACCATATGCTTAAATGTAAAATGCAAACTATCAAATTCCTAGAAGATAAAACAGGAGAAAATCTAGGTGATTTTCATTTCAGCAATGAGTTTTTATTTTTATTTTTTTTTTAATTTTATTTTTTTAAGTAATCTGTATACCCAATGTGGGGCTCAAACTTATAACCCCAAGATCAAGAGTCGCAATGCTCTACTGACTGAGCCAGTGAGGTACCCCTCAGCAATGTCTGTGTGTGTGTGTGTGTGTGTGTGTGTGTGTGTGTGTGTGTGTATATATATATATTTTTTTTAAGAGAGGGAGGTGGGGAGAGGCAGACGGAGAGGGAGAGAGAGAATGCCAAGCAAACACCCCGCTGAGTGTGGAGCCTGATGCAGGGCTCGATCTCACAACCCTGAGATCATGACCTGAGCCTAAATCAAGAGACGGACACTTAACTGAGCGAGCCACCCAGGTGCCCCTCAGCAATGAGTTCTTAAAAACAACACCAAAAGCATGATCCATGAGAGAAAAAAATGGTAAGGAACTTCATTAAAATTTAAAACTTCTGCTCTGAAAGACCATATTAAGAGAATGAAAAGACAAACTATAGACTGAGAGAAAATATTTGCAAAACACGTATCTGCAAAAGATTTCTATCAAATAAATGAAAACTCATGAGTTTATAATGATAACAAAAAACAAAAATTAACAAAAACTCACTGGTCACCACTGAAGGTGACAGGACACTAATTTATTATTCTGAACATGTATAAATAAAGCTTACCTCCTGCCTTTCCTGTGTGACATGGTAAAAGTTTGTACTTATTAAAGTTTAGACAACACATGCAGATGGGGTGATATAGTTAGATCACCATACTGCAACTTGTAATGAAATAATGGATTTAGAAAATTATCATCAATGAATGCTAAAACCATTAGGTGAAAGAGTGATGGGGCACTTTCTAATGAAGGGACCAGACTGATCCCCTAAAATTATTAAAAGGGGAATTGATCAATTTAATATCATTATAAGTAGGACACTTGAGGAAATTTCTGTGGGTGTTGGATATTGTGATGATGGATTTCACAGATGTATACATAGGTCAAAATTTATCATATTGTGCATTTTAATTATGTGTACTTTACTTTATGCCAATTATACCTCAAAAAGCTATTTTTTAAAAAGTGGGCTAAAACATTATATGTCCCATGATGCAGTAGGAAGCACCCAACATACCAATAAACTGATCTTGCCTGAAAAACTGAACCTGAAGATGATCAAACCAGTAGAACCAACTACCAGTTTATGGAAAATATGAGGAATAGAGGAATGCATTACATGACACCATGTATGAACAATCCTTCTTCCTCCTCAGTCTCATTTTCTGGTTCCTTCTCTCTTCCAGAAAGCCCCACGGCACCAAGAAGTGCCCCCGCCCCCGTTCTAGATGCATGTAGAAAGTGTTTAAGAACACTTGTAATAAAGATATTTCTCACATTGCTAACAGCTTGCTACTTGACAACAGTGTCGTATGGGTGAATGGAAGTTATACACATCCTGCAATGCATGTAGAGCATTTTAGAACACCTGTAATAAGGATGTTTCTAAAATCACTTAAAAAAAAAAAAAAAGCAGCAGCTCTCATCTACAAAGCAGAGACTTCCAGAGCCCTCCAGTGTGAGGAGAAGGCAGCTGTCAATGTTGAGTGAAGCCATCCCCAACAGCTGCAGGTGCACTCACTCAAGAGACAGACCAACAGGATACATGGTAACACAGGGATAGCACCTACCAAGCCACACTTTAATACCAATTTTAGACAAATAAGGAAAATTGGTTGTCCTGATCCCAGAAAGAAACAAAAAAACAACTAAAATGTGTAACTACAACTAACATTTCACATTTTGTTTTCCACAACCACAACCTGTCCTTTCCAAACAAGAGGAAAGACAACAGGTCTGATTTCAGTTGTCTGTTTTATACAACATTCTCCTTCTGGTCTACCTCCTACCTGCCCCCTGTTACTCTCACCAAACTAACAGGGTTTACCTCAATCTCTGTCAACCCTTTGCACAAACTTCATTTTCTCATTATTTACACCTGCATTCATATGTGTTAATTAGGCTACATATCTCACATCCAAGTTTTCTGTTGTAGAGAGTGGCTTGGTCTTTCTATACTTCCATTTCCATTTTTTATAGTGACTTTTAACAAAAGTAGTTAATCAAAGGACCCTAAAATATATGCAAATGCAAATTTCAGAAGTATATAACACACTTAAAAATTACATTTGTCACTTATTTTTCTCTGTACCAAACCTGACCTACACCAAATCTGACAGAATGTTCCTGCTTTTACAAAACCATGATAAAACCAGTTACCCAGAACCATTCATATAAATGAATTGGATATTGAATATACAATGTAAATAAATCCTCCTGGATAAATCAGACCTTCTCTGTCTTCATGCCCACAGATCTTACATTCTATGTTCAAACTCGAATATAAAGGGAAAAACATCAGCCTTTTAACTTTCCTAAAAACATTAGCAAATTAAACTCAAAACTCCACTTAGTTTTCTTAAATTAGTAAACATTATTGTCTTCTGTATGTAGTCCATGCAGTATATTCAAAATCAAACCTGGTCTTCGTACCACTGGAAACAAATGAGTCAACAACCTCCCATCAACCATTCTCCTGCACTTACCTTAATTTACTGGTGCTTGATAATCCACTTATGTGGTTTCCAATGTAGAGGAGAGGCAGAGGAAACAGCTTCCATGAAAAAAATGAAAGAATATTTGATTAGAACTCCAATAACAATTTTCCTTCACATATATAAATGGTGACACTTCCTGTCAGTAAGCAAATCATTTGAGTCTGTTTCCCTGTAACAACTGTGAATTTTCCACAATCTAAAACACGTCATGAGTTTCTCCATGTGACCAAAATAGTTAGATGGGCAGTGATATCTATAACGATGGCGGGGAGGGGTGGAGCTGCGTTAAAACGGAAATGTTGACCTTACCAACATTAGCAGACTATGTCCCTAAAGGGAGGCTCTGAACAAGCACCTCTCTTAAGTGGAGACCCCTGGCTGAGTTGGTGAGTGGAGGATGGGTATTTATAGTTTATGCATAAGGTTCAGAAGGCCCCTTGAGAAGGTGTACAAACTTGTTACCTATGTATTATGTACTTTTCTGGATGACAGCAAAGGTTCATATCTCACTGGGATGTCACAAGGTTGGTGACCCTTTCAAAAAGTTGTGTCTACCAGCCATATTACTTTGGAGTTACTTTGTTTTCAAGGCCCAGAACGATTACATATCTACCAAGGTTAAACAATGTACCAGTAGTACTTGAATTAGGTTTACTGAGCTCTGAGCTCCTGGATTATTTTCTGATTGTCAAGAGAAATATTGTTCAAAACATACTGAAGAAACACACAAAAATGTAAGACCTAGTCTTCCATGAATGAAAAATATATATATATATCCTTTCAGAAGGTCACACAATAACTGAGAACTTTTTGGCTGATATAATAATCCATAGCTATCAAGGTGAGTCCAGCATTTCTTTTTCCACTAAAAAGACATTAAGCAGGTAACTCAGATAAGATATACTTTGAAGGATTTTGAAATACTAAGTGTCATCCACCCCCCAAAAAAAGTTACAAAATTTTATTATCAGGAGATTTGCTCAAGAAAGAAGACACAAAGAAGAGAGGACCTCAGACCTAGGACCTTCCCCTTATTCACAACATTCTGGTTGACAGCCTACAACTGGCTCAACAGTAACACTCCTGGGATAGTACAACTTTAGAAGTTCTTAGGCACTGAAAAGAATCAGTTGCCCCCTTTCCATATATAACTCAAACAAACAAACAAAAAAAACAATACTGACTTCTAGTTTTTAGAAACAGTGAGCTAGATTATTTGTGTTAATCTCCCCACTGAAAACAATTAAATATGCTACATAAAATAATTTAAAGCCTTCATAAGAGCATCAAATATGTGGGAAGATGGTGAGTCCCCAGGCCAAAACTAAAGTGAGAACAGAAACCCAGAGAGAAACAATGGAAGCCAGAGGACAGTAGAATGGCATCCTCAAAGATCTGTCAAGTTAGAATGCTATCCCCAACAAGAATATCTTTCAAAAGCCAAGGAAAACTGTAGTCTTTTACAGACAAACAAAAACTAAGGGAATTTAAGCCCACCACTAGTAAATCCTAAAGGAGGTACTTTAATCAGGAGGACAGTGGTAAATGTGGGATACAGAAAGTAAAGAAAAGCAAAGGAAGCAGTAAATACATGGGTAAATATAAACAAACATTGATGGCTTTTTAAAAAAGAAAAAATATACTGAGAGATTTACATAAAATAGAGATTAAAGTTCCTGCTGACAAGAGCATATTAGGTTGGGAGGAGGGGTAAATGGGTAAAAGTCCCTACACTGTTAAGGGAGAAGACACACTTATTAATCTAATTTAGAATTTGACAAGTTAAGTATGCCTGCTGTAACTTCCAGGGAAACACTAAAAGAACTCAAACAGAGGAGGTCCACCTCATATACAGTTGACTCTTGAACAATGCAGGGCTTAGGGATGCCAATTCCCTGCACAGTGGAAAATCCATGTATAATTTGACTTCCCCCAAACTTAAGTACTAACAGCCTACTGTTGACCAACAGCCTTAGTAATAACATAAACGTCAGTTAACACATATTTTGTATTTTATATGTATTTTACGCTACAATCTTACAAAAAAGTAAGTTACAGGAAAGAAAATCATAAGGAAGAGAAAACACATTTATAGCACTATACTGTGTTTATCAAAAAAAAAAAAAATCCATATAGGAGCACCTGGGTGGCTCAGTCAGTTAAGCCTCTGGCCTTCGGTTCACATCATGATCTCAGGGTCCTGGTTTGAGCCCTGCATCGGGCTCCCTGCTCAGCGGGGAGTCTGCTTGTCCTTCTGCCTCTGCCCCTCCCCTCTGCTTTCTCTCTCTCTCTCTCAAATAAATAAATAAAAGATCTTTTTAAAAACTCCACATATAATCTACCTACGCAGTTCAAACCTGTGTTGTTCAAGGGTCAACTGTAATTAAAACACTTTACCTGTAAGATTTAACTAGTTACATTTTTAGGCACCTAATGATATAGACTCAAAATAAGTAAAATAAAACAAACAAAAAACCTGACAGAAATATCAAGAGAAATAGACAAATCCACAATTAGAGATGATGGCTGCAATAGTATTCCCCATTTCACATGCTCTTAAAATGTGACTTTGACACTTCCTTTCATACAGAGGTAGGCTCTAAGTCCCTTCCACGTAAAATTGCATGGGACTGTTTCAGCTAATAATGTACAGATGAAATGATGCTATGTGACCTTTGAGGCTAAGTCATAAAAAGCAAGGTCGTTTTGCCCTGCTTGCTGGAACACTCACCCTTGAAGAATTCAGTATTGTGTAACCATTTTGACTCCCCAGAGCCTGCCATTTTGTAAGGAAGCCCAAACTAGCCTACATGAGTAACCACATAGAGAACACTGAGATAATAGTAAGAGAAAGATTTGTGACTAGCTCCCAGCTGTACCAACCAGAACCCCCATCACTCTGCTATTGTCTGTCAGAAACTATACAGAAGCCCTAACCCAGAACTACCCAGTTGAGACTGTCTCTAATACCTTATCCACAGTAACTGTGAGAAATAATACAACGATTACTGTTTTGAGTCACTACGTTATATAGCATAAGATAATTGGGACAGGGGTGCCTGGGTGGTACAGTCAGTTAAGTGTCCAACTCTTGGTTTCAGCTCAGGTCATGATCTCAGGGTCAAGTTTAAGCCCTGAACTGGGCTCCGCACTCAGCACTGAGGCTGCTTGAGATTCTCTCTCCCTCTCCATATGCCCCTCCCCCTGCAAATAATCTTTAAAAAAAAAAAAGATAACTGGAACAGGCATATAAGTATCTACAAAAAACCTACAGCAAACAACATACTTAATGCTGAAATGTTAAAAGCTTTCCCTTTGAGATCAAAGATGTCAGTATTACCATTTCTATCAAAAATTGCACTGAGGGTCCTATGCTATAGAATAAGGCATGTAAAAGAAATAAAAGTTAGAATGTTGGAAAGAATGAAGCAAAACTGTCATTTTTTGCAGATGACCTGACTGTGAATGTAGAAAAATCTAAAGGAAACCAGAAATAAATTATGATTAATATTCTATAATTTTACAGATACAAAAATATATAAATGTAACATAAAAATATGTCCCTCTAATCTTCCAAAAATATATTTTTTAAAGATATATGCAAGAACAAAAAAAAGAAAAAGGAAGAAGTACCTTGGAATAAACTAACAGAAATGTTAGAACTCTACAGAGAAAATTATAAAATTTTACTGCAGGCAATTAAAGAAGGTATATGTATACTTTGTTCATGGATTAAAAGATTCACTACTTTAAAAATATCAATTTGTCCCGAATTGACTTATAACTTCAATGAAATCCCAATTAAAATCACAAAAGGTTATTTTTCTGAAACTTGACAAGCTGCTTCCAATATCCATATAGAAATGTGAAGGACAAGAAGGAAAGATTTGCTCTAGTTGACAGCAAAACTTTTCACAAAGCTATAGTAATTAAGACTGTATGGTAATGGTGCAAAAAACACAAATAGACAGGGGCGCCTGGGTGGCTCAGTTGGTTAAGCGACTGCCTTCGGCTCAGGTCATGATCCTGGAGTCCCGGGATCGAGTCCCGCATCGGGCTTCCTGCTCAGCAGGGAGTCTGCTTCTCCCTCTGACCCTCTTCCCTTTCGTGCTTTCTATCTCTCGTTCTCTCTCTCTCTCTCAAATAAATAAATAAAATCTTAAAAAAAAAAAAAAAAACACAAATAGACAAAAGACATGGAGAACACAGAAATAACATATGTGAATAATATACGTCAGTACCATGACAGGAGTGGCACAATATTAACGATATACTTTTCAATTAAATCTGTGACAAGCGAGTGCTCATTTGGGAAAAAAAATGAAATTGGGCCATTATCTCACACCATCCACAAAAATTAACTGCAAGCAGATTAAAAACCTAATTCTGAAAAACTATATACCTTTTATCTATAAAAATATCATCATAACCTCAAAGTGAAGAAGGATTTCCTAAAGAAGAATAATGATTAATCATAAAGGAATAGGCTGATAAAATTTAACTATCTTTAGGGGTGCCTGGGTGGCTCAGTTGTTAAGTGTCTGCCTTCGGCTCAGGTCATGATCCCAGGGTCCTGGGATCGAGCCCTGCATCGTGCTCCCTTCTCCACGGGAAGCCTGCTTCTCCCTCTCCCACTCCCCCTGCTTGTGTTCCCTCTCTCGCTGTGTCTCTCTCTGTCAAATAAACAAATAAAATCTTTAAAAAAAAAATTTATCTTTAAATTAGGATTCCTGCTCATGATAGGAAATATATGATAAAGAAATACATGATAAACACATGATAAAATAAAAAGATAATGCCGCAGAGGTAGAAAATGTATTTGTAATACTGTATATAACCCCAGAGGTAGAAAATGTATTTGTAATACTGATAAGAGGATTATCATTAATTCATTTTTTTTAACTCCTATACAGATCAGTAAGAAAAAGACATCAACCCAATAGAAAAATGGGCAAAAGTCTTGAACAAGTACTTCACAAGAGGATATCCAAAATGGGCATTTAAAAAACCCTCATTAATAACCAAGAAAATGCAAATAAAAGCCAAGAAGTCATTATACACCCACCAGATTAGCACAATTTAAAATGACTGACATATTGACACACAGTAATTAAAATAGCAAAAAGCGAAAAAATAAATAAAATGACTGACTTATCAAGGATTGGCAAGAATGCAGAGCAACAGGGACTTTCATGCACTTTCGTCAGGAGTGTGAACTGGTACAATCAGCTTGGAGAACATTTTGACATTATTGACTCAAGTTGCAGATGTGCATAGGTTAGGAGTCAACCATTCCACTTCTTTTCTTTTTATTTTTAAGATTTTATTTATCTATTTGACATAGAGAGACAGGGAGAGAGGGAACAGAAGCAGGGGGAGCTGGAGAGGGAGAAACAGTTCCCCCGCTGAGCAGGGAGCCCAACATGGGGCTCAATCCCAGGACCCCAGGATCATGACCTGAGCCGAAGGCAGACGTTCAACAACTGAACCACCCAGGCACCCTCACCATTCCACTTCTTCATATACCTCCCAGAGAAATTCATGCCACAAGTGCCATTTTTAGATTAAATTGTGTCCCCTTAAAATTCATATCTTGAAGCCCTAACCCCCATGTGACTATATTTGGAGATAAGGCTTTAAAGAGGTAATTAAAGTTAAATGAGGTCATAAGGATGGGACCCAATCCAATAGGACTGATGTCCCTCTAAGACAGAGACACCAGGAGTGTGCACATACAAAGTAAAGGCCACATCAGGACACAGCAAGATGGCAGCTATCTACACACCAGGGAAAGAACTTTCACCAGAAACCAACCCTGTTGACACCTTGATCTTGGACTTTTTTGCCTCCAGAACTGTGAGAAAACTCATTCCTGTTGTTTAAGCCCTACCTCCCCCACTCCCGCCCCCGTCTGTGGTATTTTGTTATGGAAACACTAATACATGTGCACTGAGATCCAACCCTAAGTATGTTCAGAACAGTATTCTCTTTCCAGAACATTCAAAAATAGCAAAACTAATTCATGCAAAACGTAACTGAGGAACGCATATTAGAATAATTACAAAGAAAGCAAGAAGAAAAAGTATTATTACAAAAGTCAGAATAGTGGGTAAGGAGATTCTGTTGACTCCATCTCATGACCGAGGTAATGATTGCACAGGTTAGTATTCATTCAACTATACATTCATGTATGATGCCTTTTTCCCTACATATTAGATCATATTTCACAATTTTAAAATGTTTAAAAACTATAGCATATCATAAACTAAGTATAAGCAAACCCAACGATATTCTGATTTTTCCTATTATGATTGGGTTAATGCTTTCATTGTACTTCAATATTTTGTTTTTCTCTTTTTGTGAACGTCCCTGATTATTGATGCTGTACACATGTGCTTAGTCAGCCTAATGAATAATTTAGTGATAGATGCCAGCATCTTTCCAGGCCTGGTAGAGAAAAAGCCATGTGAGGTCCTCACCCTCAAGGAACTGACAGTCTGATTTAACTTCCTTAAATCCAAACATGTCCTCATAATCCAATTAATACCACCTGTTGTATAGGATTGCTCTAAGAACTAAATGCCTGGCTTAAAACATCTGTTTATTGAACTAGCAACTGTTCACAAAAGGTAGTTCTGTTCCACATTCCCAAGAAGGAAAGGCAGGTTTTATGTTTCTAGTTCCACCACAGGAAAACCCGTATATTTCTATGGATATCAAATTGTATTCTTCCTTCCACTCACAGCTTTTATCGATCCAAGCTAAAAATGAAAACTTAAAACAAGATCAGAAGTGTAGGGCCTAAAAGCCAAATCTGGCCCATCTTTTATTTATGTAAATAAAGTTTTATTAGCACACAATCACAGCAATTCATTTACATATCATAATACAGTGGCAGAGCTGAATAGTTCCAACAAAGATGGTCTGGTCCAAAAGCCTAAATATTTACTATCTGGTTTTTTTACCAAAAAAGCTTACCAATTCCTGGTAGGGCTTTATCGTTTCAGAAGACATAAAGTATTTATTTAATGTCAATTGCTAAGCACACACTTTTACTATTATTACATTATTTTAATGAACAACTGAATGAATAATATAATATCTCTATTAAGAAGTCTTTACCCAGTGTAAGCAGGAAACACAGTGTGTGTGGAAACTGACATGTATTCTTAGATCAATTTATAATTCTATAGCATTTTCACATCTTCCATCAAAGCTATATGTACTTTTCATCACATACCTTCACAGGAATTTTCTTGTCAAAATCAGGGAAGTGAATTATTTTATTTAGTTTGGATACATACAGTATCATTATGGTAGCTGCCATCTAAAAAAAAGGGGGGAGAGGGAGAAACTTCAGCAAAATATCTGGAAAAACTGAGGTACAAAGTCATCAGAAGAAAATACATTCATCAAAAAGAAAATATTATCCAAAAAATCCATTTTCTAGGTTCCAAATAATAACTATTTCTTAGAATATTAAAATTGTTTTTCTTGCCAATGTATAAATTCCATCAGAACCATAAACAAAAAGTATAAGATCAAATAGACTCACACATATACATATTATCTCAAGGGGCTCAAGGAACAGTGACAGAGGGGAAAAAAGAAATGGTGTCCCCAAAACTGGCCAGAGTGACCAGTCAGTGAGGCCACTCCTTGATTCTGGACCATACTTTCGAGCATACGGTCACCTTCCCACATAGAGACTAGGGGTACTGTGAGGGGGCAAACTCCACATACAAACATGCTTTCTGTAACGTCCAATATTCCTATAATACAGAAGACAAATTAAGAGAAAAAGTTTTAAAGGGGATTTATTTTTCTCTTCAATCTAGCCAGTCCTGCAAAAATCTCATTCAAACCCTATTAATCTGGAGTACATCAAGTGTATTAGAAATATTCCAGATTATTATTATGAAATAAAAAATCTTAATATAATCTTCTTATGCAAATTTTAGAACTTACTCAATTTTCTCCATATTATGATGCAAAAATTTAAGAACTCCTTCGACATATTATCATCCTAAACCTTGAGCCTAATGAGTTTACAAATGTAATACTTATGATAGATTAATATAACAGGAGCCCATCTTGAATTATAATTATAGTTTATATTTATAACTTACTTTGTAATACTTACAGAAATATACTAACACTTACTTAAAATATTCTGCAACTCAGACTTTTTAAATTAGGCCTGCTGCTCTCTTCCCCCACAAATTGTATATCAGAAAGGCTTTACTTTGAGTACAAGCCAGTGAATTTATTTGCCTTGGGGATTACTAAGGGCACATTATCACATGTGATCTTTTAAAGTACTCTTTTCTACCTATTTCACATTGAAACATTAAGATAATATATTTTTGACCTTAAGGAAATATATTATTTATTTTTTTCCCTAAAATGATGTTGCAAAGAGTGACTTATCAGCAAAACATTTAACCAGAATGTTTAATCATATAAATGACATCCTTTCCAATATTCAAAATTAAAAATTAACAGATACAGTTTTCCTAATTTTACATTTTTCTCCCTATATATTAAAGCAAAACCAAAAAAAAAAAAAAAGGTGCCTTTGGTGCCTGTTCCCACTTGCCTACTAGAAAGCACCAGCATGTGATCAAGAGAGTAAACAAGCCACGAATTAATATTAATGGAAAATTTCAGAAGCAGCCAAATGGGGTTAGTCTGAAAGCTTATCCAACCTCGTCTTTTTTTTTTTTTAAAGATTTTATTTATTTATTTGACAGAGAGAGACACAGCGAGAGAGGGAACACAAGCAGGGGGAGTGGGAGAGGGAGAAGCAGGCTTCCCGCCGAGCAGGGAACCCGACGTGGGGCTCGATCCCAGGACCCTGGGATCATGACCTGAGCCGAAGGCAGACGCTTAACGACTGAGCCACCCAGGTGCTCCCAACCTCGTCTTTATACTTGAGAACAAAAAAAATCACAAACTGCAGGAAGCAAAATGCAAACATGTTTAGTTAGACCCATAGAGAGTTTTGTAAAAATTGGAATGTGTTGCCAGCATTTACAAATTTGATGTAAAATTTCAAAACACCTGCTTCTCTTGAAACACCTCTAGAGTTTTGATAATAAGGGTGTAGTGAGCTCAGTCTCATCCCCCAGCCCTTTTCCTCTCCGCACAGTGGCTTGAACTGAGTACCAACGGCACACTTCCACTGGAGCAGCTGTGCTCCTGGTCCCAACCCAGCCTCCAACACATTCATTTGTTGCCCACCAGGCCTTGGAGGCTGTCAGTCTTCTGGCCCCTTGTTTTAGGGTAATTAAATTCAATTAAGGAAGTTGAAACAAGTAGTTGTTTTTTTTTTTCCTTCAAAGACAACTGTTCCTAAAGTATAGAAAGACATAAGATGTGTGTCAATATTTCATGCTGTTTCACCAAAAGTACCATGATCCTCTGGTCCTCTGCCCACTGAATAAATTTGTAAACCATGGTCTTAAACAAAAGCACTTAAAATTTGATCATGTATGATGACAACTAATTAAGCAGTTAATTTTTCTTTTTCACTTACCTGTCCAATTCCAAGAAAAATTGGTGATGGGAATCTGTTTAAAAACACAGAATAACAAACAATTTTAACAACTGATAAAAGTCTGCAGTCTATAATACATAATGTCAGGAGTTATTAAAAAATCTTAAGACCAACCATGATCCCAGGGTCCTAGGATTGAGCCCTGCATCAGGCTCCCTGTTCAGTAGGGAGCCTGCTTCTCTCTCTCCCTCTGGCCCTTCCCCCCGACTCATGCTCTCCCTCTCTCTCAAATAAATAAATAAAATCTTTAAATAATAATAATATACCCAGGAACAAATCTAATAAAGACTAATTAACAATTACAACTGATGAGAAAAAAAAACCTTGTGATTCTTGCCTATATGTTAATATATAATCTTTTGAGCTTTTACAAGATGTAAAAATAATATATAACCCTGTAAAAACTGTTCATTATCTGGAGCTCTTTCTTCCCTGTGAAAAGCATGTTTCCCCAGGCAGCTGTCCTAACTTGGGCTCGAATAAAACTTTTTTACTTTTAGAGATTCTAAAAGTCTTGTTCATTTTGCATTGACACAATGGATGAGAACAGAGATGAAGACAGATACACACATACATGACAAAGATGACAGTGCAGAGCACTGAGGGAAAGATAGTCTTTCAACAAGTGGCACCAGGTAATGTAGATCCACAATCCTGACCCACACTTCACACCATATTTAACAAGGCAGCACATACACCTTGCTCACTGCCCAAATCTACACTGGCTCCCAGTCATTCTCTCAGGCTACTAAAATGGAGGGAAACACCCCCCCACACACACACACACAGCCTTCCCCGAGCCCTCAATCTGTATGTCAGAAGGAAACGGACCTATTTCAGCTAGGGCAAGAAGAGAATAAAGAATGGACTTACCTTATCAAAGAAAATAGGAAGGAATACTCCTGGACATTACCACCAGGAGAATAAAATTAATTCCAAGGGGTGGAGGCCAGTTGTGCCACCCAGATACCCCCTTCTGGACGGAGCATTCATTCCCCAGTTGCCCAAGAGCATCCTGAGCTGAAGAAAGCTGCCTTCATCGCAAATACCTTCCCTGTGAGCATCCTGCATTCTGATATCTGGTTTGTGCAAAGGTGTAAAGGCCAGGGCCCCCACCCCAATTTAGAAGTCTGGTGGGCCATCCCAGCTCCAGAGCCCCTGGGATCAGGCTTTGTTGTGCTTGCAGTACAGCCAAACCCTACCTCCCTCACTCCACCATGGGAGTGGATCCTAACAGCTCCCCCCACTATACTTCCTCCGCATCTCAGAGTCTGCTTGCCAGAGAATATAACCAGTCACATCAAATGAAACCACAAGACAGCAACATAAACAAACAGTAAAACAACAAGAAAAAGCTTACGGAGGACAGACAAAGAGACCAGGTGAGAGGAAAATGTAATACATGAGAAGGAACTCAATAAAGAGAGAAAATGATTCAAAGATAAAAAGCAAATTTATTGACATGAGAAAAATAAATAGACTAAATCTTCAGATCTAAAAGCACACTGTTAAAGAATGTTTGACATAAGTAAAGCAGTAGCCATGAAATCCATAAAATAACTACCTGACAATGGAATCCACCAATTAGGTGTCAAATCAAAACAATGAATTTAGGAATGGAGACATTGTGGTAAAAGGGCTGTTACTGATTACTATATCCATTCAAATATAGAACAGATGCAAACAGCTGTGGGATTCTAATTACACAACAGGATGCTACATTATAAAACAAGATATGGAGGGGAGGGGAGACAGGAAGAAGCATGCAAAGTATCTTCACCCTTCATAGCAGGGAGGCCTTACATTGAAATGTGTTTACAATTGAAATGTGTTTACAAAATAAACATGATGAGATCAACTATTTTTTAAAAGATTTTATTTATGAGAGAGAGAGAGAAAGAAAGAGCATGAGCAGAGGGAGAGAGATAGGCAGACACCCCCCCCCCCCCCCCCCCCCCCCCCCGTTGAGTGGGAAGCCAATGCGAGGCTCCATCCCAGGACCCTGTGATCATGACCTGAGCTGAAGGCAGACGCTTAATCGCTTAATCGCTTAATCGACTGAGCCACCCAGGCGCCCAGATGAGATCAACTTCTTAATGTTTTTCATGACCTCTTCATCTTAGAGGGATCTTTTAAGAAATACTAAAACTTATAGTAAAGAAATCAATATTTGAAATTCAGTTAAAACTAAATTTCATACATATGTGCAACTTGCAATTCCCACCTTCAAATGCAGCCAGCATGACAAACAATGGGACAGCCCCGGATACGATACAAAGTGAGTTCACAGGGTCGGCTATGCAGCAGTCTTGCCAAAACGGTTTAATCTGGATGTTATCAAGCTCTTAGATCTAAATTTCAGTTGGGAAATAAGCTAAGCAAGCCTTCAAAACATGAATCAGACAATCCATAACGTGGGACATTTTATAAAATACCTGGCCCAGGCTTTTCAAAAAGTCAATATCATGGGGAAGAAATAGGATGAGGAGCTTTTCTAGATTAAAATAAACTATAAAGGCATAACTCTATGCATTTCATGAAGCCTGATTGGATCTTGATTTAAATGTTTGAAACAACCATAAAAATATCTTGGGACAACTGGGATGATTATACATTTGGTATTAGATTACTTTAGGAAATCATTAAAGTTTGTTAAAAGCAAAAATGATACTATGCAGGAGACTATCCCTATTTCAGGAGAGACATGTTAAAATATTTTGGAGTGCAGTATCATGTTTGCAACTTACTTTCAATGGTTTCTGGAAGGGCAAGAAGCAAATATGATAAAATGTTCATTATTCAGTGATGTGTATACGGGTATTCATTGTACTCTGCCTTCCATTTTTCTGTATGCTTGAAACTTTTCAACATGAAAAGTGCTAGGGGTGGGGAGCACCTAGGTGATACTTAAAAAACTAATTAATTAAAGACCTTCTTTCCAATGTCCACAACAGCCAAAATATGGAAAGAGCCCAGATGTCCATCGACAGATAACGGATAAAGATGTGGCGTGTGTGTATATATATATATATATATATATATATATATATATGATCTTGGGCCACTCTGCACACAGCGGGGAGTCGGCTTGAGATTCTTTCCTTCTGCCCCTCCCCCTGTTCACACACACGCTTGAGCTCTCTCTCTCAAATCTTTTTTAAAAAGTAAATCTATACATCTTTATAGTATTTCTTAAAATCTCACCTTTTTTCTTTTGTTTGAATTCTTTGTAATGATCATGGCAGAATGACTTTTCTTGAAAAAAAAAAAGAGAGAGAGAGAGGCACCTAGCTAGCTCAGTCAGTGGATGAAGTGACTCTTGATCTCGGGGTCGTGAGTTCAAGCCCCATATCGGGCACAGAGTTTACTTTAAAAAAAAATTGTTTTAATAGATATTTCAAGATATTGATTCTAGGTAGTGGGAATATAGATAATTATTATTGTCTTCTTTGTACATTTCTGTGTTTAAATAACCTCCAATTTTTTAACTGAATTCTTGTACAAGTGAATGTGAGGAGTGAAGACTATGAAGACTTCTGAAGTCAGACTCTGAAAGGAACAGAGCAATGAGGGTCCATGAGGGATCAAGTATGGGTTATTTTCCCTTGAGATCCTATGGTCCTAGGATTGAACCCCGCAATGTTGAGATACCTGAACATGTTTTCAAGGGCTGGAGGATGCTGAAGCAGAATAGAGGAGGAGGTCGAAGAAGCTGGAGGAGCAGAGCTGCAGAAGAGGAGAGCTGGACCTTCCACGGGGACAAAAGGCTCCCTACATCCTAGCAGCAAGGGCAAGTTGGGAGCCTCTTTAACGGTTTCTACTTTCTCAATAGTATCAGAGATGGGGAGTGGAGGATAGGGGTGTGGGAGGGTTCAGGAGGAAGGAGAAAGTGGGAAGGAGTCGCTTCTGAGATGAGGAAAGCAAGCCCCCAGAAGAAACTAGTAGGTAGGAAGGAGAGCCAGTTGAGCTTTGTGATCATCATTTTAAAGTCAACCCTGTCAGCTCAGAAGTGGGTTTCCTCCCACGACAGTTTGTGCTGCTCCGTGTGAAGGGGGGAGGCAAGTGGTAGGCTGTGCCTGACAAGTGCCAGCCCCACTGGGCCTGGGAAAGGACTCGCAGGGTTGGATGTGCAGACACAAGCTGGAGGCGGCGCGGGGCGTGGGCACCTGGCAGGTCATGCCGAGCACACGGCCCTGGGAATGACTGCAGGAAGCAGGGCCACACTGGCTGAGTGGGTTCCTTGGTGGATCCTGAAGTCCCCAAGGTTGACGCCAGTCCAGGTGGAAAGGAAGACTGGAACTCTTTGTTACGTGAGTGACAGGAGCTCCAGAGCCACCGCAGAGGACCATAAGGAGTGGTAAGTCTGGACAGTGGGGAGGCAAGAGGACCCACCCACAACTCCTGGCCAGATCCAGGGTGAGACCAAGATCCAACTGCATCCAGGGCCAAGGGAGCAGTGTCTTCAGGAGAGAGCAGGTTTTCATCAGATTAAGAGAAAATTACGAGTTGTTTTTGTTTTTAATACAGACTTTCTAGTTCCCACCACTGGAGACTCAATTCAGTAGCTTTTATAAAAACCTCTCCAAATAATTCACATTCCCGGGCAGGTTTGGAAACCACTCTGTTAAATGATCCCCAAAGTCCTGGGATGCATAAAGAAGTAGACATACAGCAAATGCTTGTTGAACTAAATACAACTAAGCTCTATATTTTTATTAAGCACCGTTAGTAAATTCTTGCATGTCACAATGGCAACCAAAAAAGCCCACTCCAGACCACCTGCACAACCTTCATGAATCTGATTCCAAAGACCTACTAGGGTAACCAACTGGCCACAGATTCTTGGATGACCTTCCTTTTCCCTCTCACCTTAACAGGGTCTGAGAGTTCACATCCTTCAAAGACCTCTCTGTCCGTCCAATCAGATAAATCTAGCATTTACAATGAACCAGAGAAGTCTAACAAAGAACAAAGACCACCCATCGGTCTTGTACCCCAAACAGAAACAATCTGTTCAAAACGGAAGAGAAAAAAACATCCTTTGAGCTACATTCCCATGACCCTGTGGATTAGGTAATTATTGAAATGTCCTTCCTTCTGTTCTACAACACAACATTCTATCTTCAAATAGCTAATGTTTGGATCAGATTTCTAAGGTTTATTGTTGCAACGAAATTAACCCAACCCTCTTCCCCTCAAAAATGTGCTCCTAAAACATTTTGAGATTAGAGAACAAACAATGTTATTTGAACAGGGTTCTCCAACTGTATATTACATTACGGAAATGTAAAATGTTTACTTCTAAGGATTGAAAGAGTTTTGTCTTGCAGAGACAAAAACTCCATTTCCTCCTTCAATCACGGAACTCAAAATTTTAAAGATGGAAAGACTAGAGCATGAGATAGATGTCTCATACAATAATAATTCTTCCCAGTTGGATACTGCCCTTCATCTTCGAAGCCCTTAACCAGTGTTTACTGGTCCCTGTTTCCAACAAGACACATGTTTTTGGAGGCAGTGAACTGCCATGGCCAGGGAGCACACAGCTCACTCAAGTGCAGAAAATCGAGACTGACCTTCAAACTTCATCCAACGTAACTGTCAACCACTCCCAAACAAGCCTCTTAATACCATTTTCTTGTTTCTTATCACAGATGGCTTAAGTTTTCTTTTTCTTTCATGAGTTTGCATTGTATGTGTTAAATGATACAGGTTTAGGTATATGTTCATTCTAATTTCTTTGAGGCATTTGTGTTTTCCATGGACACCAGCAAGCATGCTTGCAACACACGGGTAGAAACCTTGTAGGTCTGTAGGATCACCAAAAAATATCCCAAATCTCTCTCTTCCTCCTTATCTGCTGCTACCCCTCACTCCAGTCCCAAGCCATCTCAGAATTATCTAGAAAGCAGCAATTGCTTCCTAGCTCCTCTCCCTGATTCCAATGCCATCAGTTCACCAACCACCCACCAGCCAAAAAAATCTTTTTTTTTAATTTGTGCCTGTTCTCTACTTAGTTTATTTTTACTTTTTTTTTTTTAGATTTTATTTATTTATTTGACAGTGAGAGAGACAGTGAGAGAGGGAATACAAGCAGGGGGAGTGGGAGAGGGAGAAGCAGGCTTCCCGCCGAGCCGGGAGCCCGATGCGGGGCTCGATCCCAGGACCCCGGGATCATGACCTGAGCCGAAGTCAGACGCTTAACGACTGAGCCACCCAGGAGCCCCCAAAGAAATCTTCTTAATGCCACAAATTATGTCATGTCACTCCTTATGCTAAAACCTTCTAAGGGACTCCCAAATGCATTTAGACTAAAATTAAAACTACTTAGCATGGTTTCCCTGCTTCCACCCTGGTCCCCCAATATCTGCTCTCAACACAGCAGCCAAAGGGATTTAATTTAGTTCATGTTACTCCCCTGCTCAGCACCTTCTAATGGCTCCTATCTCCCTCAGAGCCTCCACGGTGGCTTCACAGTCCCTACACGATCTAGCAATCCATTACCCTGGGACCTCATCCAGTACCATTCCCACCCAAACACCTTTCTCTTTCATGTTTGCAATGTTCTTCCCTCATTTCCCTCGCCTCACTCATCTCTTGGCTCAAATGTCACCTCCTCAGTGAAGCTTCACTGATCACGGGACACAGCAAACTCTTTCCCATGCCCACACTCCCCAACTTCCTTTCCTGCCTTACTTTTTCCTCCTGACCACACAACTGCATCTGACATAATATAAATTCCACCAGTTTATTTACTGATTCACTAGAAAGTTCCATGTAAGCTCTAGGAGGATGGATATTTGCTCCATGACATTTGGGATTTTGATCTGCTTCATTCACTCTGTTATCCCAAGTGCCTGGAACAGTGCCTGGCACCCAAAAGGTGCTTAATAAATATTATTGAATGAAGGAAGGAACTGATGCTGCCTTCCCTGCCTCCCTATCATCTCTACCTTCTTCCACTTGCTCATTGGGTTCCTCCAGCAGACCAAACTCATGTCCCCCTTCGTCACAGCCCCTTCAGTTTGGAATGCTCTAGTGCCAACCACTCAGCCCCAGGCACTCTCATACCATACCTGAAATCACCCTGCTTATTCATGAACCCACTTCTTTCTGTCTCTACCACTGGTGTGGAATCTCCAGAGCAGGGGCTCTGTGCTGATCACAGCCGCTTCCCTGGTGCCTGCAATGGGCTTGGCTCATAACAGGTGCTCAGTAACCATCTGTTGGAGGTGTAACCAGCCAAGCTCATGTGGGTCTCAGCTTTCTCAAGTATAAAATAAGAAAGCTGAAGATACTCTCTGAGGTCTCTTTTAGGCTCTTTATAGAACTATGATTTCACAGTCTTGTCAGAGAGCCCTCACTATGTGCAGCTCCTGCAAAGCTCTGGGAGGTAATTAAGGCGGTTGTAATTATCCAGCTTTTGCATCTGAGAAAACTGCTGACTATGGGGGGTCTGGCCCAACAGGCACAGCTCTCAGATGGTGTAGCTGGATCTAAATCCACAGTGCTTTCAGTGCTGCTATAAGGATAGCAGAATTAAACAGGAATTTCTAGTCCTTATAAATAGGCTCAAGGAGCCACAAATCTGGCTTACTGCACACTAATCCAAAAAGTACATCATGTGAACTTCTCATTGTTTTCCACGAACACACTGGTAATTTGAGAATGAAAGATCAAACAATGCACGTCCCGCCTCAGGACTCCTCTGATTGTGGAACATCGAGATCTGCGTAAAGAACTATTCGCCTTTGAAGTTCACATTCGGATCACTTGTTTGAGCTCGCCGGTACGTCTGAAAACTTTGGGGTGTAGCTCTACAAGCACAGCTACGCCGTGTCTTGCAGTAGCTGTAAGCAGTGGTGAGGTGTGTCCGCTTTTGCCGATAGTAAAACGACTCTGTTGGGTTGCGGTTTGTTTTAGAAGCCTGCGAAGGTCCTGGCTCCGTGAAATCAGCAGGGACACTCCGCGCTCTCTGTCCGGGCCAGAACGCCGAGCCGGGCGCGGCAAAGTGCTTGGAGGGCAGGGGCAGCCCCGCCGCGCCCCCACCCCCGGGACCTCGCGCGGCACCGTGAGCGGGAAGTTCCCGGGACCGGGCACCGCCGAGCAGCCGGGCGCCCCGCGGCCCCCGCCCGGCCCCCCGGCGTCCTCCTCACCGGTAGGTGGTCAGCAGCGCCTTGTTAACCAGCACGATGAGGAAGGAGCAGGTCCCGTAAAAGAGCGCCGACAGCAGCTTGGCCACCCGGGAGGGCAGCCGCGCGGAGGCGGAGTCCCGGTCCGCGCCCTCGGCCTGGCCGCCCGCCGTCATGTCCCGCGGCCGCCCGCCGCCCGCCGCCCGCCGCCCGCCGCCGCGCTCCAGCCCGCCCCGCCCCAGTTCCGTCCCCGCCCGCGGCTGGCCCGCGAGAGGGCGCGGCCGAGACAGGAAGGGCCGCGGCCGCCCCGAGTGCGCGCCCCGGGAAAGCGCCCTGCGGCTGCGGCGCGGACGGGTGCGGGCGGCTTGAGCTGGCGCTCGCCAGTCCGCGGGGCTAAGCACCTCCTTCCCGCTGACGGACGGCAGAAACGGGGTTGGGAGAGTAAAGCCGCCCTTCCGCCTTCCCAACTGCCCTTCTGGGGCTGCTGTTTAGCTTGAGCATTTGTTTTGCCCTTTTTTCCCTACACTTTTTAACGTATAATTTACGTAAAAGGAAATGCTGGTTTCACAAGCCCACAGTTTATTGTTTTGACAAATGTGTACCCCCTTGTAACCACCCAAATCAACACATTTCCATCACCTCAAGTAGTGCCCTTTGTGCCCCACTGAAGGCAATCCCATCTCATTCTGATTTCTATTGCCGAATTAGATTTGCCTCTTCTAGAACGTCATATAAATTTCATGTGTGTGCTCTGTCAAGGCTTTTACTGTTTACTACGGCTTTTGCCACCCCCCCCCCTTGTTATTTCTTTAAATTGCAGAGTAGGACCACAGTTTATCCATTCACCAGTTGATGGGGATGTTGGTTGTTCCCGGTTAGGGCTTTTATATAAAATGCTTCCATGAACCTTAATGTACAAGTTCTTGTGTGAACGTGTGTTCATTTCTCTCCAGTTAATACGTAGGAGGAACAAGGGTTAAGGTGGGTGCAGAGCCTCAACTCTTTTCTTGCCTCTAGGTGCTTTATGGCTGGTTCTCTCTTTAACGTCAAGGCCCATTGTTTTTCTAAGCGAAGTGCAACTAGCTTCAGTGTTTGTTGTGAAGGAGAGCCTCCCAGAACTGCCTACTCTGACCACACTCTACCTGATGTAGCTTTTTTTTCAAATAAGTGTCCCCTATTTTCATTCTCAATAATTAACTTTAAAAATCTGAAGTTTTCGCTTTTTTGAAAAGCTAAAGATTTCAAATTAAAGAAATGTTTGAGCCTAACTATTGATGCCATACAATTGTTTTTCTGTTGTAGGCACTGAACAACCAGGAATTTTCAACACTGATAAGAACTAAAGCAGAACTTTTACAAATAACTAGCTCTAAAAAAGCCAGAAAGAGTCCACATTACCCAAAATAAAAAAGCAAACACACGTTAAGACCATTTTAAAATAAAAAATGGGGCGCCTGGGTGGCTCAGTTGTGAAGCGTCTGCCTTCAGCTCAGGTCATGATCCCAGGGTCCTGGGATCGAGCCCCACATCGCGCTCCCTGCTCCGCGGGAAGCCTGCTTCTCCCTCTCCCACTCTCCCTGCTTGTGTTCCCTCTCTCGCTGTGTCTCTCTCTGTCAAATAAACAAAATCTTTAAAAAAAAAAAAAAGAAAGAAAGAAAATGGGGCGCCTGGGTGGCTCAGTAGGTTAAGCAGCTGATTCTTCATCTCAGCTCAGGTCTTGATCTCAAGAGTCTTCAGTTCAAGCCCTGCCCAGCATGGAGCCTACTTAAAAATAAATAAATAAATGAAATGAAATAGAAAATGAAGTCATGTTCCAGTTGAACCAAAAACTCTGAACTTGAAATCATTTTGGATAATTTCCTTTAAAAAGATCAATTTAGTTTCCAGTGAGTCTCCAAATAAGTTTTGGCTGCAAAACAGTAAACTCACTTTTAATAACAGCCTTAACCACATTTGGATTTAATTTGCTTCTACAACATACATACTTCCAGGATCTGAAGTGGCTGTCAAAATCTCATCCTGTTTAAAGAACAACTCACACTGAAGAGTTGCATGTGAAATTCTTTTGCTCAAAGCCTAGACAGGCTGAACCTTGCCTATTGCAAGTATATGACTAAAGCTAAATAACTAATGACAAAAATTAAACCAACTTGCTTGACTCTTAAAAAAACAAACAGGCCCTGAGTGGCTTCTCAGGGAGATGACCACATTCAACACATCCTGAATATAAGTGAAATAAAATCCCAGTTCCTGATCACCCTTACCATGAGGCCTGGAACAGAGCTGGCAATACTTATCCACACCAGTGTATTTTTAACACTGTAACAATGAACCAGAGGGGGAAGTTAAATTAATATGTACAATCTAAATGGCCATAATTTTAAAGTAAGAAAAAGCAATTCACACTATGGTTTCTACCATGCTAAACAGATGCCTGAGGAGACACTGGAAATGAAATATAAAACGCACCAAATAACAATATGGGAGGATGTAGGGCTGTAGGTGACACTTCTACCTTTTCAATTTTTTTACATTATGGTTATCATATTGTTGATAGGAAGACAAAGTAAAAAAGGGTTCAAGAATGAACATATAGGGGCACCTGGGTGGCTCAGTTGGTTGAGCATCTGCCTTCAGCTCAGGTCATGATCCCAGGGTCCTGGGATGGAGCCCCACATTGGGCTCCCTGCTCAGGGGGGAGTCTGCTTCTCCCTCCTCCTCTGCTTGTCCTCGTGGTCTCTCTCAAATAAATAAAATCTTAAAAAAAAAAAAGAATGAACATGTACTCTAAACTGTAAATTAAAATAAATTTTTATTCAAAGCATCTTTTAAAATTACAGCATCTTTATTCTTATGCTGTTATCTCTGCCAAACTACAACTGAGCCATCTGAAGCATAAAACACTTCAAAAATTTGAATGTAAACCACATTTTTAAAACAAAAAGCAGTCTTAACACACCTCAAATTTTAGATGCCACTCTATTTCATCCAAGTATATAGCTTATATCAAAAAAGAACATTTTAAATATTTCTATAGTAATTGTAATAATTTCTTAAACTTCCAATTATACAAATAAAAAATGTTTGTGAATATAACTATTATAGTTGACAAAGGCTGACCAGAAAAAAACAAAAACCCTTACTTTTGAAGGCCTTAAATTTTATTATCCATGAATTGGGAAGTATTTGTATTTTTTAATACAATTTTACTGCCCTTCCTTCTTTAGGTAAGTTCATCAAATTTTAAATTCCCCAAGACTGATAAGTGTTGCTTTTCATAGTTCATTTAAGTTATATTTGAGAGGAAAAATTCTAGAGAAAATGATGAAACCTAAACCATGAAAATTCTGATGCTACAGTCTCTCTTACTGTGTTTATAAGTGCTGCAAGTTAAAATTCTATATACCAGATTACAAACAAAATTCTTAGACCATTACAAATATAAATTCTCTTATTACAAAAAAGAATCCCTCAAGATTTGTAATTTACTGTACAGAGGAATTACATTTTTAAAGTATGTCCTCATTCATACACATTATTTGTTACTATCATCTTTCACACTTTTGCTTCTTTCCAAGACATTTACATACCACCCCTTCCCCATGGCTACACATTTTAAACTACCTGTGTACTGCAACACGCTGGAATTTTTGGATAAAGCCTACATTTTAGATAATGTTTAAACTACATCCGTAGGCTACTACTTCAAAAAGAAAAAAAAAAAGCGCTGAAGAGCCCATACTTCCCTCTATTACTCTGAGGTTTACTCCAATTAAGCAATCTATCAAATTAAATTTCTGCTTAAACAAAGTTTAAATGGTGGAGGTTTATGCCTACACATAAAGGAGGTGAACTGCTCAGGTCTTGATTTTTCTGTTCATGCTTCAGTATATAAAGTGGTATTTAAAAACTTCATCTATTTGGAAAAATGGCTTAAAACCACCACACAAGTTAACACACTTGCAGTTGAAACTATTCCAGAAACCTACTTATTTGAGTAGCTAATATTTTCTGCAGTGTTTAACTGATAACTAAATTTAGTGAACACAAAATAGCTTGGCATGTTATTCTGAAGTAAAGCAAGAAGGTGGCTTTATGCACTGAAAATATAAATAAGAGGCTTCCATTTGCTAATAATTCTAAACAAGCAGTACAATTAAAATTTAGTGTTTGCTAACAAAAGATCTAAAACAGTTCACTACAAAACCACCCTGTAGGTGTCCCTTTTATCAATAAAAATCCAAGTGCCAAATCTCATTACAGGGCCCATAATATTAAAAAACAAAACAAAACAAAACCAATTACCAAGTTACCTAGACTTTGCAAGATTAATCACTTATTTTCAGCAAATGAGAAATATGCAATGTGCAAAAAGTTCCCAAGTTAACATAATAGGGATGCCAAGTGCTTTTCAAACCTAAACATCATAGTGAGTTGTAAAGCCTCAGAAAGATAGAATAAGACTGATATTACTCCAATTCTGAAAATTCTCAACTACTGTGCATCTTACCAAGATCCTCAAAAATCTCTTCTCTTCCAAAGTCCATAACTTAGAACATCTTCCAAAATAGTCAGTTTTCCACTTCTCAATAGGCACACTATTTTGCAATTTAAAAATACATATCTTACACACATATCTTATACTTTCTGGCTTGCTTCAGTGTTTACAGTATTGTTAAACATACTAATATACATTGTTAAAAATGATCTTATAAATAATCTATTTCAACGTTCTTTGGCTACATGTACCATTCTGTTTTTTCATATAAGTGTCTTATTCAGAAAGTGCTTCCTGTGAGAACTGCTTCCAATGAATGCATTAAACTTGCAAAATCTAGCTTCCCACAATATGTCTTTTTCTACCCTGTACTAAAAGTCCCATATTTACAAAATATTTTAAACTTTACAACAAATCCATTACCATATAAAA